AAAATTGAAAATTTCTTATGGAAACCTTTACCTAGGGCCCTTGTAACTATGGCGGATCTATTCAAACGAAGGTCGTCACCTTCTCTAATCTTCTCAATCTGCAATGACAATGAAGAATCGGTGGAACATCTTCTACTCTGGTGTCCATGGGTAGAGCCTATTTAGTGGCGGGCAACTAAATTACAAAATAAATAAAGATGAAATCACTACTTTTGGCTCTTGGTTACATTCATTAATTAGTTCTCATCTGGGTTCCAAATTGGAGAAATCCACACTGATGTCTCAAGTGGCTTTTACTTGTTGGCACATATGGAAGGCCAGGTGTGATGTTGTCTTCAACCATAAGCCAACCTTTCCTATACAGGTAACTTAGGCTATTTCTTATGCTTTGGCTGTTTTTGAACAAGCTATGGAATGAAATCCTGAAAGCAATCCGGCGGGGCAGCGTTGTAATACCTTGAAAATTTAAATACATGAATTAGATATTCATAATTATGAATATGTGATGAAAATCGAAAATAAATTGATTTATGGTTATCAAAATAAAATTGGGAAATTTTAAAGTTTTGTTTCCAGACATTTTTATAATTTACATTGTAAAATCTATCGATAAGTGGAAATGACGAAAGTGCTCATAGGCGGCTAAACGTAAATTTTACAAGGACATATTTTATCATATTTCTTGGCATATTTGGATAAAGATCAATCTCACAAACGCGTAGGCGCAAACTGTTCGTGAAACGGAGCTATAATGAAGAAGTTATTAACATTTAAAGTTGAGGACATTTTTATAAGTTTAACCTAATCTAGAAGGCTCCAACAGTTTCGGAGCAGGGAGGAAGTGACACGTGTGTGGCTGGATGTTGTGTTGAGGAAAGATCAACGGTTGTGATGAAAAAGGGAGGAGAGAAAATGAGAGATGGGGGGAAGGGATGGGCCAAGGAGGGAAGAGGAGAGAAGGAAAGGGCGAATGGGAAAGAAAAGAAAGGAGGGGAAGGGAGAAAAGGAAGGAGTACCGGATCACCCTGACTAGGTTTCTCTAGCGACCCGACCCGGTTATTTTCACTCCCTTCGATAGTTTTCCATCGGTTTTTCCAACGAACCATGTCAAATAAACACTTGGGAAACACTCCATGACCTACCCTCTACCAATTACAACCCAAAATTGATGGAGATGGGCTTTGATTTAGCAAACCCGCACCGATGGGTGCGATGGATCCGTGTTGTCAATCCTCCCATTTCTGAAACAATTTCATTCAATCACCACCACCCCTAGACACCTCTTGAGCCCAGGAACACACCCCCAAATGACTATAGGGGCGGTGGAGCACCAGAGGTGATGGATTGAAGTCACCTATTTCTAGGGTTGAAGGAAATTGAGGCTTTTCCAGGCCAAATTGGACTTGGCCACATGTATAAAACTTGCTCTACTCATTGAGATCTTCATTTTCATAAAATTTGGAAATTTTTAGAGTTAGTTGGAAAAATTGGGTTTCAGTTCGCCAGAAGCCGCCACTTGCGGCGGCTCGTGGCCAAAGAGCCGACGCTATTCTTTTAAGCTAATTTCGATATTCTGAATGCATTTATGATATGAAATTGGTGTGAATCGTTTGTTTGAACCTAGTTTCGTGATTGATAGTCACTTATTTGATTTTGGAAATGGATTAAAAATGAATGATGAACTACGAAATGCTTGATCCTGCATCAAGGATACGTAGGCAACCTTAAATAATTGAGAGTAATTTTTTATTTTTTATTTTTTGTGGGAATGTGATTGAAGAAAAGAAATTTTGATGATTATTTGGAAATTAAATCTTATGTTTTAGTAAGTAAATTTTTGGTTAGATTTTGTGAGTGATTAGGAAATTTAAATAATGAATTGTGATCAATTGGTAGTTACTTAAACAAGAGTTTAATTTTGGCCTACCACCGAAATTATTTTCCAAAATAAATATTTAAGGCGGAGCGTTACAAGTGTGATTTTTCCCAAAGCACTGTTTAATCTTCTCCTGATTCAGGGTGTGTTAAGATCAACGTGGATGCTAATTGGAACTCCGGTACTCGAAATGGGTCTATTGGAATTGTAATTCGAGATCAAAATTATGTGTTTGTTGTTGCTAGAAAATCCCTAATCAAGGCTTCTAAGGTTATTGTGGCAGTGGCGTTGACGGTGTTGGAGGGATGTATGTTTGCTAAGAAGTTGGGTTTAAATAAGGTGATCATGGAGTCGGACTCAAATGAAACGATCTTATGCTTGAGGAAATCCATTCAAAATGGCAGTTGGGAAGCTTTCCTCACCCTATGAAAATTGCTTAATTGGGGGAGTCTTTTCAAGTCTATCATTGGTCTTGGGTTCCAAGAACAGCTAATATAGCGGATGATCATTTGGCGTCTTTCACGTCTCCGGGGATGAGCGTTCAATGGTTGACAGGCCACCATCTTCGTTGGTTCATGTTCTCAACAAAGATGGTATGCCTTGTCTTCCTTCAAGAAGTTTTGAGCGGTGTAGGAGGGGAGATGCTTAGCACCAGGTGCCTCATCCTTCTGTATCCTTCTTACAATGCTTTGGTTGTAAAATCATGTATATTTTTGTCCTCTGTTAATCCCGCTGTGGGCTTTCATGTGCATAAGGAAGATAAATAAGGTATAAATAAAGGTATATATGATCTATAGTAAAAAAGATTACGATACTATATTAGGGAATTGAAAAAAAAACAATGAAAAAGGAAAGAGATCTAAATGTTCTTCACCAACGATACGAGGTTTAGCATAATTGATGTTGAATCTGATACATAATTTAAATGTGGGAATTTGTCCTACTCTTTGGTTTTGCTTGATAATGCATTTCCAGCTTGATTAAAAGAAAAAAAAAACCAATAAAAACAAGACAATGTACTCATCACAACCATTCAATAAAGCCATTTGACATGATTTTAACAGGATAGGCTTTAAACTTTTCAATACAAGTCAATTAAATATTAGACAATATTCTAATTGATCCTATAAGAGAAGGATTCTCCTTCCTCCTGATTCTCCTCTTCTACAGTTCTTTTTTATTTGAACAGTCATGATTATGATTAAATTGCGTCACATTTTATGTTGACTTCTTTATAAAGAAAGAAAGACTGAGGAAAGTGAGAGAGGAGCAGGAGTAAGATTCTCTCACTTCCAAATTTTTCTTCCCTATAATCCTTCATATTTAAATGATCATGATTAAGATATATTAACATCTTGTGCTGATTTCTTTATATGCAGAACATAGTTTCCTATTTGAACCGATGGGATGGGTTGCTGCCTTGCTGGGATTTAGATGTTTAGTCACTGGTCATGGGTCCGAGTTGTTTGATCAACTCGAATCATGCATATCTGTCACACGCACACAAAAACAAAAAAAACAAAAAAAAAAACACTTTATACGAAAGAGATTTAAAAGAGCGCGGACCGAACCAGGTTCTCCACCAATCCTAAAAGTGATCGAATACGGGCTATAAATGAGTAGAAGCATCTCAGACCAATCCTACCAAAGGTACCCAACTTTTGTCCCGTATCTAATATTCTCTACCAATTTTTGGGATTTAGTAAATTATCGATTTACCCTTTGAACTTTCACCTAACTTTCGAGTTCTCTCTTAAATTTTTTTATTAGAAAATTAAGGACTTAAACTAATTTTTTTTAGCCAATTCGCCCTCTACCATTAGTTTTTCATATATTTCATCCATATTTCTGTTGAGTGAGATATGTGCACAACATGTGAGGGTAGTTAAATCATTTCACTCTTAAAAATGATTAAAAAAATTGACAAAAAAACAAAAAAAAAAAAAACTTTCCCTCTATTTTTTCTCGCTAATTCCTATCCTCGATTTTATTTCTCCCTATCATTCCTATGCATGAGAAATGACATATGGTGTTATTGTCTTGATAAGTAGCTACGTTAGTCTTTTTCTTGAAGCATGTACTACCATTTTTTATTTTCTCTAACAAATTAATAATTTGACAAATGTTCATGGTGTTATTGTCTCCAAAACAGTGCATTAATATAAGAAACATGTTCATAATACTCATAAAAAATGCTCAAGATAATTACATATTTTTCATAATGTCATAATAATCCCCATACAATTTCACAAAATGATCCTTGAGAAGTTGGAAAACATAAGGGATTTTACCATCCATAAGGTATATAACCCATAAATCTCGATTACAAAATATAGGCATTCCACTTAACCAAACACAAGCAAAATAAGATAGTGATCAAAACAAGAGTACAAACATTCTGCTCGAAATGCACATGACACGTGGAGATCAATTACACTTTCCATGACCTTCCTCGTTTGGTTGGAATCTTGTACCTAAACCTATTTTCATTTCTGATGGCTAAGTAAGGTTGAGGGTATTATGTTTTCCAACATCTTAAGGATCATTTTGTGGAATTGTATTGTGATTATTATGACATTATGAAAAGTATGTAATTATCTTGAGCATTTTTTATGAGTATTATGAACATGTTTCTTATATTAATGCACTGCTTTGGAGACAATAACATCATGAGCATTTGTCAAATTATTCATTTGTTAGAGAAAATAAAAATGGTAGTACATGTTTCAAGAAAAAGACTAACTTAGCTACTTATGAAGACAATAACACCATATGTCATTTCTCATGCATAAGAATGAGAGGAAAAAATAAAATTGAGGATAGGAATTAGCAGGAAAAAATAGAGGGAAAGTTTTGCTTTTTTATTTATTTTCAGTTTTTTAATCATTTTTAAGAGTGAAATGACTTAACTACCCTCACATGTTGTGCACATGATCTCACTTAACAGAAATATGGATGAAATATATGAAAAACTAACGGTAGGGGAAAGTCGGCTAAAAAAAATTAGTTTGAGTCCTTAATTTTCCAATAGAAAAGTTCATGAGGGAAATCGAAAGTTAGGTGAAAGTTCAAGAGATAAATCAACAGTTTACTCTTTCCAATTGGTATATATAATACATATCTAGCACCCTCATTGCCCAAGCTAGAACTTGAAATGGCATGTCGGAATGAGAGGTGCAATGGGTGTGGACCGCAATTTATTGTGCCATCAGAAGCACAAATCATTCGTTGTGATTCGTGTCAAGGCATCACCCGCATTAGTAGACCATCCGTCAATCCTCTGATCCGAGCAGGCCAAGATACAATAAACCACGCTGTCAACCGTGTTCAAAGCCGAATGACTAGAGTGATGTCCAGGCCCTCCCCGAATACTGCCCGCCCTGCTAATCTTCAATACTACCAGCATCAGCTGTCCCAGCCATTTGTACCAAAACCCTTGATGCCTCCTTCGGCGTATGGAAGAAAGCGTGCGGTGCTCTGTGGATTGAGTTACAATGGGAAAAGTTACAAGCTTAAAGGAACTGTGAACGATGTTCACTGCATGAAATACTTTCTTGTTGACAGATTGGGTTTTCCAAATCATTCCGTACTCATGCTCACAGGTAGTCCTAATTAGTTTTACTTAATTAATTTCACACTATTAATCACGAAAAACATTTCTCAAATGCTATTTCTTTTGATTTAACAACTATCATTTCATGAGGTATGAACTAATAGGCCAGTCGCATTCATTTGAGAATAATGGTACAAGAATATCAAATGATTATCTTAAAATAGTTCTCCAATTTATAATCATAAAAAATATGTAAGGTCACTTGTTCTTGCTGTGGTGTAGAACATGAGATGGACCCTTTTAGGATCCCAACAAAACAAAACATGCGAATGGCGTTACAGTGGTTGGTGCAGGGCTGCCAATCAGGAGACTCGTTGGTGTTCTACTTCTCCGGCCATGGCTCAACCCAGCGTGACTATTCGATGGATGAGATTGACGGCAATGATGAAACGTTGTGCCCTGTTGATTTTGAGACCGAGGGGATGATCATTGATGATGAAATTAACGCCACCATTGTTAGGCCACTGCCCCATGGTGCCAAACTTCATGCCATTGTTGACGCCTGCCATAGTGGAACTGTTCTTGATCTACGATTTCTTTGCCGGATCAACAGGTAATTGTTAGCAGCACTTACCCAGCTACATGTATCAATTAATGTGCTGAACACATTTTCTTAATTAGACCCGACTAATTGAGAAATTAAACGCGATACATACATATATATATATATATATGTATGTATGTATATATGTATGTATGTATGTATGTATGTATGTATGTATGTATGTATTTGTTGTTTTTTAATGTAGAGGAGGACACTATGTGTGGGAAGATCATCAATTCTCACCTACTTATAAAGGCACAAGTGGTGGACTAGCTGTCTCCATAAGCGCTTGTGACGATCATCAAAAGTCTGCAGACACTACGGTGAGTATTCTCAATGTATGCAGAAATCAATAAACTAGCTCTTAATCGATAAACAATGTCGAAAGAGGTTGCAAGTTTAACTCTCCCTCCTCTAACTCTAAACCCTATATACGATTAATGTGTGAACAAAGATATATAAACTGTTTGAATTTGTATTAGTGCCATAACAAAGAGCAGAGATAGTTCTACTACACTCAATTAACTTTAAAGAAACAAATGCAATGTAAAATGACACAAATTCGTGGGATTGTGCAGGCTTTATCTGGAGGCACTTCGACTGGTGCCTTGACTTATAGCTTTATCCAAGCAGCGGATAATAATCGCGGATCGACATATGGCTCTCTGCTCAATGCTATGCGCCATAAAATTCATGAAGCTAAAACTGGCGTTGAGATGGTTAAGTATCTTTCCAAGATTCATATGGTTGGTTAAACATGTTCAAACACTCCATGCAAACATATCGAAACAACACTGCCAGTATTAGGCAGCAACGTATACCCCAAATATAATTAATGCTATTCAGATGTATAAAATTGATACCTCTCTCAATACAATGATAAAACGTACATCGATTAAAATGTTGATTTTGTGTCAGAGTCAAACTATCTATATTACTTATTAATAAAAGATACACAAACGAGTTATACATGTGATAAGAGTATAGATAGGATAAAAACAGAAGTAAATAAATGTCCTATTAAAGTTGGATTGGTTGATTAGACATTCTCTATATATGCTTTGAGAATTTGTTGACAATGTTTGGTCTTTTGATTGTAGGAGCCCCAGTTGACATCATCTGAAACATTTGACATTTATTCAACACCAATGGTGTTGTAACTTGAACTTTATAAGTGATAAAAATAAATCGGTAATGTCATTCTTATTTACTGTAACACATTAAGTGATTAATAACACCTGCTCTAGTGGCAGTCTGTACTGCAATGTGCGTTAATCATATCTATAAGTGTAAGTTTGTATTCAATTTTTTTTATTCCATCCTCTTCTAAAACTCTCCATATGAAATCTAGTATTTCCATGGAGGCGTAAACCCATTCAAATTGCAAACATGGATTTGGTAGAAGAACACGCGTCATCTAACATAATTATGAAACTTAGAATCATTCAATTTGTTACAAAATTTCATAGCAGGATTGAAGCAATGAGGATTTTCTTCACATGAAATTTGAACCCTTTCAATTTCTTCTACTCGGATGGGAGGATGGGCAACGGATAGATGATTAAAGCCCTTATCTAGATCACCATAGACATAATAAATACTAATTTTGAAAGATTGTCAACGCTCAAATGACAATCCAAATTTTTAAATATATATTCGAGAATGATCTCAAAGGCATGGGTTATGCAGGAGCAGGGCAGGGGCGACATTCCCAAATCTATTACATTTTTTTTTTCTGGACTTTTATTGTTTAATTATTAACAAAAAACTACGGGTAAATTATAAAAAAACCACATCAATTTTGGATGAACCACAATTTCATACTTCATCTTTTAAAAATTACAATGTCACTTCTGTCAATTTTTCTGTCAATTTCTTTGTCAAATGCTGACGTGGCTTCATATGAGACCCATTTTGTAGCCCTACTAGATTAAAAAAATTAAAAACAAAATCTTTTAAATATTTTTATATAAAGATGTGGGACGTACCCCTACAAACCCATCACCCTCACTCTTCTTCTCCAATCCACCGACGATTGACATTGCCCATCTATGGGCACCCAACCTCACCACCTGCCTCTACCCCTCCATATAACACTGAAAGAGGAAATTGTAGCAATAATCTCTCAACTTTAATCAAATTATAGCAATGGTCCCTCAACTTTATTTCCATGACCATTGGTCCCTTAACTTGTCAAAATATGCAACTATGGTCATTTTCCTTAACACCGTCAATAAATCTGTTAAATTCAGTTATCGACTCCAGGAGCTGTTTAGCTTCCAACAAACAACATCGGCGTCCCTCTCCCTGTACCTGTATAAGATTGCTTGAAACTATTACGACTTGAACTACTAGTACTAGAAGAATTGATTGATGATGATTCCTTGGTTTGGAGGCTATGATGCTCATCTTTGTGATCTCGACGAAGACGATTACTAGTTTCTCCTTGTGTTTCTGCAGCAGCACCGTAAGGGATTACATAACCGCAGAGGCATCGGTGCTGTGTGCCACACAGGGTCGTCACTTGAAACTGTTGCTTGCACTTAAGGCAAGGGATAGCTTTTATACCATCTGGGATTTTCATTAATCAATCGTTAAACCAATAACAACGATAAAACGTAACCACCACTGCAATCTACCATTTACCTAGAAAATTCATACATATTAATTTAAAGGTAATGTGTGAATTCATTAATCTGTCCAATTACTTAGCAGCATATGCATGACCATGCATCTTATGCTTAATTCTGAGTCACGTAATAAAAAGGAAGAACTAGATGCCCTACGAATGGCTAATTTAAACATGGTATGGACAAGAGCCACTATCATGGGATTCGATTTACTTTAATTTAAACTTTATATTTAGGGTTGTGTGTTACTTTCCACGCACGTCTCTCAAATTTTGGATGTCGAGTCGAATGATTCGAAAAAGATCAAACGAAAGAAAGTGGGTGTGGATAGCACAACCTAAATAACACTCCGATAAAAACCCATCTTTGTATAGCACTCAACATATTCCCCCCTGGTCTGCTTTGTGGATTTGGGTTTTATTTTTCATCGTTTGAAAGATGGTGTTATCACACTTTATTAATTTAGATCGAATGAAATTTTACCGAACACAATCAAGAAATTACATAAGCCATGCATGCTAAACGTAGGTTTCAAATCAAACTTGACCTAGTGGAAGTTTATAGAGCATGAACAAGAGCTACACATACCAAATGAAACGCCACAATTCCTCTATTACATACTCATTAGAAATACAACATAATTCCTCAACCACGAAGGACCCACATCTAACGAGAATATCACTCTTTGTTGCCTCAGTATAGAGTAACACCGCTTGTATTAAAAATCAATATAAATAAACTGAGGCCTGTCTTAACTGTTAAATTGAAAAAGAGGGGAATATCGGCACCATCTTACAAGAACTAGATGTCCTTGCCTTATTCAATGCCAATGGCACCCTTTAATTTCGGTCTCTTAGATTCTCAGTTTACCGCTGACCGGAGAAAAGCGCAGAGGCAGGGAGAGATGCCAATTCACACTGCATAAACATAATAAGGTGAGGGAAATGATTTATGCACGCATTTTTCACTTCATGCACACCTTTTTTTTAGCTGTGATTAAATAAATTAAGAAGAATCAAGGGCCATAATTAAGAGGGGGCGTGCAGAAGGTGAAAAAGAATATGCAGAATTCATTTCCCATGGTGAATGCTAGCCAATTGAGGTTCAAATTGACCCCCAAAAAACTAAAATTTAAAATATATATATATATATATATAATAATTTGGCAATTATGACTTAGAAATTCAAAAGGAGAAGGAGAAAACATCCTAAAATAGTCAGGTTAATAAAAATAAAAGCAACTGACAACATTAGAAACTAATCACATGAAATGATAGGATACCGGATACCGTTGTTTAGAATGGATTAGCATTCACAGGCATGTCATCATCTAACACATGGAGTTGCCCAGAGATTTTTGTTTTGCAAGTTGGACACATAAAACCGACCGAATCTGGTTGTATTTCAGAATCAACAGCCTCATGGTTGAACTCTACTCCGCACCATACACACGCAGTTGTTATCTGACGTCTGCCAGCCATGCTTAGCATGACTTCTTCTGATTCAAACTGGACAGAGGAACCAAATGCCTTTTCCATCTCTGCATTATTTGTCAAATCCATTGGTACCTCCTGCAGTGTAATAGATTCTTGCCCACTAGGAAATCCATACTTCAGTGGTTCTATTTCGTCCAACCCTAGCTCCTCAAACCCTGTATCATCATGCCTATGGGCAACACTGCTAAGACGTTGGTCTCCCTTTCAACATGAACGAACAACGAAATTAAATTTCTAAAAATCTTGCACAGAACAAAGGAATACAATCACATCAAAGAATTGTTATTATAGTAATAATGAAGAATTATTGCCACTTATAATGTAATTAATTCGTTAGGGTCTATCATGGAAAATAAAAGTTCAAGGGGATAATTGGCTAAAATAAAAGTTTAGGGGGTAAATTGACAGCGGGTTACAAGTTCAAGGGGGAATTCGACAAATACCTCTAAACAGAATGCTGGCCTAACACCTACAACATTCCAGACTTCTTATTTGCTATATTTGGGGGCAGGGTTCTAGGTTGAAATCGAGGAAAGAGAAAACATCATATATCTTTTTTGTCAGTTCTTCAGCAATAACTTTGGTCTTAACCATAAAGAAAAAACCTTGAACATGATTCTGGTGTATCAGTGTATCTAGAAACCAGAAAGGAACTAAATATGGCAGCAATGCTTGATGGTACCTCGTCGGATATTGCAGTAGATGTCGGAAAGCAGACCACTGAATTCACTGATATTAAGGAATCCGAAATCCCAATTTGCAGTTCATTTCCTTCATAAGCTTGGAGTACAGATTCTATCAAAGTATCACTAGATTTAGATGGTTCCTGTTCAATGCTGCTACCAAAGTCAACTGCTTGTTCACTATTCTTGTTAGTGCTGTGATCAATGACATTGGGATGCTCTAATGCACTTGTGCCATTCAAAATTTCATTCCCTACTGCATCAAGAATAAACTTGTCATTCGAAGAAGCATCTATCTTGCAGCAAGTAGCTCCATCCTGATTAGTGCCAGACTTCTTTAACTCATCAGAGGTGGATGCCAAGCCATCTTTCTCCAAAGAACATTCAGATGGTTTACCCTTTTTCTCTGTAGCAGATAACTCGTCTGTATTCGTACAAGAGTCATTAATATCTTCAACTTCCATAGGATCATCAGCTCCGTCCATACTTCCATCAGTTATTGTATGCTCACTATCGTGTTGATCTGAATCAATTCTGTCAAACAAGCGACCGTCCAGGTCCTGTTCACTAAGAGGTGAATCTATGTTCGTTTCTTGATGAGAATCAGAAGCATGAATTTCTGAACTACATCCCATGTATGGTTTATCAAGTGCAGCATCACCGTTGGATTGATCATTAGGCCCAGCAGTTGAGGTTTCCATGATAGAGTTTTGAGCAATTTCAATCAGAGCATCCATTTTTGAAGTCCTTGATGGCAAACCTTCACTGTTTGGAGACTCTATTCTCTTTTGAAGAGTTGTTGGACCTGGCGATTCTTCCACCCTCCTGACATAATTTCGAACATGAATCCCTACATGACCATTGTAGCGACGCCTTTCCAGAAATACCTTATGGCAAAACTGGCATTCATATTTCCCATCTTTAATTATCACACCATCACCAACAGTAGAACCAAGTCTATACTTCCTCGTAGTCCTTTGGTGAAGGGACAATAGATGCTGCAAATATGAATCCTTCTCATTAAAAGTCAAATTGCATTTGTGACATTCAAAAAGGTCATGTATCTGAACCTCAGCAAGATTGTCTACTCCCAATAAGGTAACTTCCTTTTCACGCTCATTAGACATAGAAGACACAACTAGAGCAGAGCTGGAATTCACATCTTGCCTACGGTCTCCATGCTTATCAGCATGCTGCTGCACCCCAAAGAAAAATTGAAAAATCATCCAAGGTGCAATAAACCACACAGCTGCACTAATATACAACTTACATTTTCAGTAGCCACTATGCACTCTTCCTGAACATTCTCACGCGCATGGCCACCATCTAGGTGCTGCGCATTACTGTGATGGGTGAAGGGGAGCAGAAATGAAGAAACTTCCTTGCAGGTCAGAAATTGTTCTCCAGTAGGGCTGGAAAGTACAAGTAACTCATAATGATGAGAAACACAAGAGAGAGAGGTGACTCCAAAATACAGGATATGAAGTAGTATGAATACTGACATGAAACCATAAATAACCACCAGGCATCAGTTAACTGGTTACAAATTTTGTTCAGGTTATGAATTTTTTTTGGTCAATTAAATAGTTATGCATTTTGTTCAGGTTTTCAAAATATACAACACACATTTCTGCTTTCTCTAACACTGCCACATCAGGCATCAGGGTAGTCATGCGACATACTTCAACCGAATTATTAGGTTATCAGTATCTCTCAAATTAACAAAGTAAATTCCAGGCTTTAGCAAACTATTCAAAATTAATGCTTTTTGGTAGATCATTCAATGTTATTGTCCAACCCTACAGCCAATCACGAAAAAATAGACGCTAACATGAGGGACCACCCTTGTGTTTGTTTAACCAGTAGTTCTTTTGTATGAGGGGGGAAAACTGGTACAGAATCCTAATTTGATCATCATTACTCAAGGATGATCTGCTAAGATAACCTATGTTACCATACAAGAGAAGCATTCTCAATGGTATGAAAACAAAATAAATAAGCTTTGAATTGCGGGCACCCCTACCGACACATGCATACAAATTTCTAACAATCGGGAGTCCATGATGAACAAAGAAGAATAAGTTTTATCAGGAACAATGCACAAGAACAAAATGTCATGGCAAAGTCAATGTCGAGCAATAGAATATAAAACTATTAGACAATAACTTAGTAGAACTCAATGCTGCCAAGCCTAATACAAGTGACTGAACTGAAGAAGAAACAAAGCAAGTAAAACCTTATGTATCGGCGGCAGTATATCCAAGCACGTCCTTCCTTCCTCTTAAGCCCCAGCAAGAGCTTCCAACCGACCGGCAAGGCATTCCCGAACTCACTGGCATCAACTATCTTCCTCTTCTTCCTCCTACTCCCCCACTGCCCACCCAATTCCCTCATAAACCCCAACAACTCCTCCTCCGTTTCCAAACCCACCGTCCTCCGCCTCAACTCCTCCCCAAAAGGCTCTTCTGCATTCCCCAAACCGGAAATGTCGACTGCAGCGCCCTCCGTATTCATCATCCCCATACCCGCATAGCCCTCATTCTCCAAACCCAAGACTTTCACTTTGGGCTTCCTCCCTCGCTTCCTTTTCTTCACCCCCATTTCACCTCTCCCCTCAAAACCAACAATTCCGGTCCTCATGTCGTCATTCGGTATAAGCGCCGTGGAAAATGATGCCGTATGGTAGGGTTCGAAGTCGATTTGGTCGAATTTGGGGTCCTGGGAAATGAAGTTCTTGAGGTGAGCGATGATCGCATGGTTCTCGTTGCGTTCGGGGTCATCCTGTGGCACCAGAGTGAGCTTAGGAGGAGTAGCGAGCAGGCCGGCAACGCGACGACGGTGGCCAGTGGCGGCGGCGGCAGTGGAGGTATCAGACTGTTGACGGCGGGGACGAGAGTAGGTTTGCCGGCGGGACCCGGCGCTCTCGTTGAAGACAGATCGGTCAATTTTGGGGACGACGAGGTCGTGGGTGCGGCAGAGGTTGAAGGCCGAGGAGGAGGAAGAGGAGAAGACGGAGAGGACTTGGAGCTCTGATTGAGAGAGTGTGCTGATGTCTATGTGGATTAAGGAGTCTAAGGGAACGTTTGCTTCTTGTGGTGGTTGTGGCGGCGGGACAGTGGCTATTGCCGCCATTTGTGGTGGCGCTGTTTCGAAGTTAGGAGTGGTCTGTGATAGTGAGGAAATGGTTTGGGATTGTGGGGAGGTTTCGTTGCTAACATGGCAAAAGGTAGAACTCTATAACCAACCCCTCGTGACTGGCCTTTTTTTTTTATCTCTGTTTTTTTTTTCTTTCTTCTTTCTCTTTTTACAAACAACATTATATTTACTAAGACTTCTTACATATGACATTATGTAGTTTAAATTTATCTTTGGTGAGTATCGAACATACGACCTCTCATTCCACTAGACCGTAGTATTAAGTAGTATCAACCCTCATGTTACTATCCCAATAAACAAAAATTTAATATGAATAACTACTCAATTCTTTAATCTTTTAAGAGCTAATTTTAAATTAGTCAAATTAGTCATTCGCATTGAGTTATGATGAATTTGTGGCTTGAATCGAAGAAACTTCTCTGTGGCGGCCACTTTTTTTTTTATGCAGGGTCGGTATTACTGAGTTAACAATAATTTGTGATGCAACTAAGTGACTTCCCTTTTTTCCTTTTGGTGGATTGTTCCTTCACATTGGGGGGTTTTTAAACCAAAAGGCTTTTTTAGAAGTCTATGCTTGTCATCTTTTCCTTTTCCCCTTCTTTTGTACTGCATTTGTGTGTTACTTTTTTTTATGTTGGGAATGAAATTCAAATAACTACTTAGAGTTTTAAAAATAAACATTTGTTAGGTTCATTAGCACTAAGTAATGACATAAACAAATATTAAAGTGTGTTTTAATTCTCAACTCATCTATAGAGCTTTAAATTTCCAAATCGACGCATATTAGCTAAATTTTGCAATTTAACTTGGCTAAAAGGGATCGATTTGTGGCGCAAGAGCTCTAAAGACAGCAATTAGTGAAAATCAACTTTAGTATTTAATCACGTCATCATTTAATGCTAGTCATGTCATTACTTAATGTTAAAAAAAATCTAGACTTAACGTTGATGACCTAACATATGTCTGATTTCCACAATATTAGGTAGTTATTTAAACGTTTTAAAAGGTTGAGACAAATTTAAACGAAGAGTGCTAGTTAACATAATTGGAGCCATGGCACCACTAGGCAATGATATAGGCGGCAAATGCAAAGCAGAAGTAATAACCAAATGTGGAGAGGATGAAGTAATATGATTGGTGACCCTTAAAAAAAAAAAAAAGAGAGAGCTAGGGTTTTCAACCTGCTCTGTATAGCATGTAAAAAAAGATTATATGGCTGAATGTATATTTCATTGATACATGAAAAGTATATATAATTACTTTCCTTGTATTGCAGGGACTCTTCCTCCAAGATAGGAGCACGATCGATCACATTACAAGTCTAACTAGTGTCCTATTTGTCTAACACGTGGTACATGGTGAAAGCAAACAACTTGGCATATGAACAACAATATTAATGCAGTCAATATCTTCCTCCAACTTGGCATAAGCTCCAGCAGCAATGCCAATGGCACGCATTTGTTGGCTGCTGCTCAATCGCAGACTCGAACTCTGCTTGCTGCTTCATTAGAGAGAACACTACTTCGCATCTTCCAAATTCTCCAAACTCCGAAAATCAACACGTACCCAATGTCTCGACGTGTTTGGATTTACTATGGTTGAACGATAAACATGACTGACTGGGAGGAGGTTTTACAAGTTGAAACTTTGTTTAGCCCAAGTTTAAGGCACCTCTGTAGATTACAATAATATATCACTAAACTTGTTCTTGATCAGAAGCTGATCCCCTTCAACTAGCCTCTTTACCACCTCCCCTGCAGGTAAATTTTCCTTAATGAGGCCTACACTTTGGCCTCCATACATCACCATGCTTTCAATGTCGCCTGTTGTCGTCGCATTTGGAACAGTACTGCCAAGACGGCAAATTTCTATTTCCTGCTAGAGAATATAACTCAAGATTGCTATCCATTGGACTCCAAGTCAAGTAAAGACATTACGCTTAGTTATAAGCAAGGCATGAAAAATGAAGAAATCGGAATAATGGCATACTCTCGCTTCTAGTGGCAAGCGTTGCTTGTCCTCACCCTATCATGTATTATTGAGCGCCGATGACAGTGCTGACCCGCTTCATTTTGATCAGCAGGAATAGAATTACAATCATTGAAGAAAGGTATACGCAGAACACGATGTGGTGCTCGCTTCACCTAGATCCGAGAAAGCAGGTTCACCTTACCGATCACATGCCCTCTTGCTTCACGCCCTTGAACAGTAATTGCGTCTGCACCAGCATATATTTCTTTCTCCGCTTCATCCAAGCTCCCAGCCTTGAACCGAAACAACTCATCAAACATGTCCAGGAAAATAAATTAACAATAAACATGGCAATGATTGTTCTGATGCTGCATCATACACAGGTAGCGTGTGCACGAAGATAGATATAAGTAAACACAATAATTATGATAAACAAGATATGAATATTCACAATTATAATTCAGCACAATTCTGCTCCAAGAACACGTACTTGAGGCACAATCTTAACCCCAGACCGATGAGCTTTCAATGCAAGCTCATCTGAACATTCACCCCAGTAAACCTGCAGCACTGCAACCATTGCATCCAATACGGCTTGTATATTTTTCTCATGAGGAAATGCTAGAACTACACCAACCCCAAATGATTTTTTAGTTAAGCTTCGAGTCTTCCTGATCAGCTCTTTCAAGTAATCTGGTGACTCCTGTTGATCAGTTAAAATCAGTGCATCAACAATTCCTTCTTTAAATTGAAAATTTAGCAAACTCATATGTACTCCATTCCACAAAGGTTGAAGATAACGGTTGACATTTCATATATCGATATGCATATGCAAGACATGAGAACTTATGTTCTCAACTTAACATCAACAAGACCCCCTCCCTTGTAGTTGAACAAGCTAAACGTACTATATCAATTAAATTTGTTGACGCGGAGCGCACAATTACGTTTAAGGATTTTTGAGGGACATCCACGAGCGTGCGAGTGGGAGACTCCCATCTCTAGCGTGGGGAACTGATGATTGAAGCATTGTAAGTATAGCATAAATAGCTTATTAACAGAGGAATAGAATGATCACAATAACAAATGAATCACTAACCTGAGGAAGTCATCGCGCTAGGACTAAGGGTTCTTCTGCTGCTCTTCTCACTGTATGCAAGGACTCAATGAAACGGGGTTTGCGTTTCTTTGTGAACCACTCACTGGTGTCAACTACAAGAAATGGAAGCAGGATTTGGAGATTGTATTGCAAGTCATGGATATGGACTTGGCATTAAGGACTGAAGAACCACCACTGCTGGTTGATGGAAACATATCAAGTTAAAGATAATGAGTGAAATCCTCTTAGACTTCTGCCATTTTTCATACTTTGGTCTCTAACTCGAGGTGCTTCCATCAACTGGCAGTGGTGGTTCTTCAATCCTTAATGCCAAGCCCATATCCATGACTCCAAAACAATCTCCAAACCCTGTTTCCATTTCTTGTAGTTGACATTAATGAGAGGATTTCTTGTAGTTGACATTAATGAGTGGTTCAACTGTGTTGAGGTTCATGGAATGGGGTTCGTGGCTGTATTCATATAAAATGAAAAGTATTAAACTTTAATCCCCACCTTTATATCACAGACTTAACAACTTTGGATTGACTAGTTTGTGATTGTTTTTCCTTATTCATGACACCATCATAATAAAAAATATGAATTTATGTAAACGTAAGTGCAAACCTCTGTGATTTGCAGAGATGGTTGGATTAATACTTCGGAGTACGTAGTGTTATGCCACTTGGATCCAAAACATAAACAATTGACCTTCTTTAGATGACCAGTGCCAATGTTTCAAGCCCTAGTGCCATTACTGAAACATATTTAAATGAACACACTTATATCCACACAGATAGCTTTAGCTATCATGTGTGTACATGATGCCATCCCTGGATAATATGTATATCAGTTCCTTTTAAACCTGCAATTTAAATAGTTCTTGATACTTTTCCTCTTAGGATTAATTGCTACGTGAAAGCTCCGATACCAAATGTAAGTATAGCATATATAACTTATTAACAGCGGAATAGAATGATCACAATACCACATGAATCACTAACCTGAGGAAGTCATCGCGCTAGGACTAAGGGTTCTTCTGCTACTCTTCTCACCGTATGGAAGGACTCAATGAAATGGGGTTTGAGTTTCTTTGTTTGCGTGTATTTGAGAGAGTGTAATATACCACATACGATGGTGATCAACAAGGACACTTCCCACTGAACGATCCTTATCAATCTAACCTTATCACCGTGACAATCCACCATTCATATCCAATACAAGTGTTCTAATACTATCGTGACTGTTATAGATTAAAACCAAAGTTACACATGTTCCTTATCAGGTATAACTAGGACTAATCAAGTGTTGAGCTCTTTATAGAACTTACAAGCATTGCTCTTACTAACAATATGAAGGTGCAGAAAACTAATAGAGTGCAGGTAGAAGGACCTAATTTGATAGAGAGCTGATAATACAATTGTCAGATAAATGCGCAACAAGAAGAATTTTTTTTTAATAGTACTCTGGAACATAAGTCGGTAGGCCACGTGTTATGAATAAGTCGAAGGATACTGAAAAATATCTCCTCTTTTCACTTGTATTTGCATGCATGGTGCATTGACCTAGTGTGGAACCAAAAATAATCAAGAAAAATATGAAGGTGACACGTGGACTTTTGGGTTAAAAAGACAAAATTACCCTTGAGGTGCACTGGACTCCCACGTGCATGCAACAGACAATAACGACTCAATCGAGATCAAAGGTGATTAAAATGGTGTTCTTTTAAACCCTTACATCACTCCTCATCAAATCCCGAGTATCCTTTTCAAATTGGGATTAATTACCAAAATTAATTGATTAATTTCCTAATTGATTGCAACATATTATTAATAATATCTTGCAATTAGAGCCAAGAAACCACCATAAGTGGCCGGTCCCCATTTCTCCAAAAAGGCTGGCCACACCCCTATATATACCCCCTCATTTCTCCAAAAACCTAAGTCCAATTCTCTAAACACTTTCTCTCTCAAATTCTAACTTAGCATCAAAGATTCTTCAGCCAAAGCCCCCCCATTCATTGTGGGCGTGTGAGGCTCTTGACCTTGATCTTAGATGTTAATTGTTTTGCAGGTACATTTTCGTCCAAGAAGGAGAAGGCAGAAATTTGCATCCACACCTAGTCCATGAAATAATCTCTCATCAACAAAGTTATCAATGACCTGCTTGGAGGGAAATCAAACTGATCTCCAAAAGGTGAAGTGAAAGTTAAGAATTTAAGTTTTAACAAAGCAAGGGGTTCATTTATCCAAAGAAAATCGGCTTACCAATTACTAGCGTTACACTAATTGCAGGGACAATAGTCACAACACATAAATATATGTTCCAAACCATCAAATTCCTCTCAATAGCTAGGCTAATATATAGCAATCATATATTTGCCAATTAAGTAAAACTATCAAGAAAACTTAATTTCGAACTGGAATTTAAGAACAACAAAAAAATGGAAACTATTTGTACCATACTTGATCAATCCCGAAATTACCAAGCACGGTCAACGTTATACCTTCAAGGACCCACTGAGGGGTTCATGCTGAGACACCCATGTTGAAGCACAAGAGTTTCCCTCCAACTAGGAGGCCAATCACAGCACGACACATATCAACGTCAGAATAAAGCTTATAGAGTCCCACATCAACCACAGACAAAAGCTGGGGACTCTCCTCAACTACAAAAGAAGACCATTCAACTCTCCTCAACTACAAAAGAAGACCATTCAACTACAATTAATTCCTAATGTCATTATTGTACTTAAAGTAGTCATTACAACTCACTAATGATAATTATGCTTGAACCTATGTATTTGTGTAAACCCTTCACTATTAATGAGAACGTAAGGGAGGACGCCAACTTTTAGAAAGAAATGATTTACATGCATGGCAAAGGTATATTATCATGTCAATGATACAAAAATATGATTCTTCCCCTTTCAACTTTTAGGTTTTCACAATAATTTTAAAATGACCAACATTCATCACACTAATTTTTTATGATTCTCAAGGTTCTCTAGTATCACCATAACTTTCTTGCAACAAATTTGTCGCGGATGCATATTATTCCCCAAGTTGTTTATAAGGCTCTTCTTTTTTATCAGTTGGGTTAGGATAATGTAGAGGATTTTCTGTTTAGTGTGTTTTATTAAGAGAAAATCACATATCCGGTTTTTTTACATAATGATTATTTATACCAAAAGGTGAGAGATTGAGTTAAGTCACACAATATATCAACCATAATAATTAATACAAATTCGCTATTAACGAGAGTCAAGCATACCTCTTTCTTAAAGCTTGCATGTTCGTATGTCTCTTCCTTTTTTAATTTAATTCAAAACATTTGCATTCACTCAATTAGATAATTTGTTAACAATTGCAAATGTAAAGCATTTTTAATGTACATAAAAGTTGGAAAGAAAACATTTCTCTTCTTCAATATATCGTAAAGTTAAATCTCATAAAATTTATGGGTCAGACTGAAAATCATTTTTGGCTTTCATGGTATATGTTGGACTGTAAAAGTGGAGTCCATGCGAACAAGTGTAATGACATTCCACTCAGATAAACAACGTTTAAGTTTCAACTCCACCTATCTATAATATACATACCCAAGTTGTTAAAACTAAATATGGAATATAATCACAAATACATCCAAATTAAATCCCTCCAAATTTACTTTCTTCTCATCATAATGCACAAAAACTATTAAGTTGGTCTTCAATAATGAAAGCTTAAAGATAGGGATTAATTTTTAATTCTATCTTTATTTCTTTAGTTTTATCTCCTTGCATGGTAGCAGAGCTTGGAGAACTCATAGTTAGTAGCTCATGCTTCTTGAAGGTTGAACTATGCTTGGAACAAATGTGGGCCTTTGCAATTTAATGAGGGTGTTCTCATCACTTGTGCGTAAAAGTCTACATGTCAACTTCAGGATTTTTCAGATTATTTTTTACTCCACATATATGGCCTAAGTATGAAGTATGTGTTGTAGGCATAATTTACTAAACAATTATGGAGGCCATAGAGAGAGAGAAAGGTGTGGCAATAGAGAAGAAGAATAGAGAGATATGTAAATGTAGGTGTGTGTTATTCCACCCCATTATGCCTTTATTTATAGTAGTAAAGAAGGTTAATTCCTTACCCTTTAGGATTACAACATTTAATAGGTAATCTACTCCTAATAGGAATATAAGATACATTCCCATATCTATTAGGATTTACACAATCACATTCCTATTCCAATAGGACTGCAACACTCCCACTTGAGTGTGTAAACACTTAAGTAAATGGCGCATTAGGTCTTCAGTGATGAAGCAAGTACAGTTGATGAAGTCGTCGGCACAATGAGCGAATGCGAGTCTCAAATCAACGGAAGAATGCATAAAAAGTAAAACTCACAAAACCTCGCTATGGTAAAACCCAAGGTGGGGAAAAACCCATAGTCTAAGGAAAAAAGTGAGAAGTTGCATTAAGTCAAAACTATACATCTTTTGGACGTAAGTAGAAGAGCTCTCAAGGGTATAATCAACCCAGGATGGGTGCCTCGTTAAAACCTAGTTAGGTAGCAAAAACCCAGTGGGAAAAATGCTCATAATCGTAGGGAAAAAGAGTACATTAAAATCATGTAAGTGGATACTACCCCTAAGTTTGACATAACTTCCAAATGAGAACTACAAGCATTGCATATGAGTAGTTAGGCATACCAATTCCTCAGACAAGCTTCTGGAAAGTTAACTTCGACAGTGCCGTCATGTAGAGGTCGACAAGGTTGTCTGGGATCGGTTTGCATAACTTCAATCTCCTG